GTATGAATGCCCATTTCCAAATGTTTGGTGCAAATGAACTAATTATTCAGTCCAGAGGATGCTACCCAAAGAGATGCAAATTCAAAAGTCATGCAGACGCTTGTCTTGGAAATAATCACACTCATTTTGGGTCTGGAGGTTTTTTTCCCTTCAAAATAGAATGTATTCATAAAGTTGTTCATTTTTCTCCAGTGGGTTATCATGCAAGCTTTTCTAATCAAAGTAATTTATTGTTGTTGCTCTCTGTAAAATGAGGAACAGGCAGAATTTGATAGTTTATGGCAACCTGTACAGAGAAAGATAGAGCAAGAGAATGCAATCAAGAGTTTTAAAAAAATTAAGAAGTTTGAGCCAGAGAGAACTAGAAAAGGAAAAAAGAGACAATAGCTGGGTAAAGATTTTTTTCTTTTTTGTCCCTGCCCTGCTAAGCAGAAAGAAGCTACAAAGTCTTTTAGTCTGAAAGTCATCTTCTGTTTTATGCCAAAACAGGAAGAAGAGTTAAGAAAACCAGATATTTAAAAACACCACGTTTGTTTCCAATTCCCTGACTGTTTAGCATCCCCCTCACACACAATGCATTAGAAAACTGTTCCCAAATTTTTCATTTCTTTAGAAAGTCTGTGGGGAAACTGGAAAAACTTTCTTTAAAAAGACCAAAACGGAAACAAAAACCCGCCAGTACTCCAGACCTGGGATGATCAACTGCAAGATGGCAAACCAGGCCATTTTGATGCAACTCCATCCTTGCTTGGAACAGGTGGGAGGCGGGGGTTGCATCAAAGGTGCGGGCAGGAGAGCGTCCGCATGTTAATCTTGGGCAGTGAGAGGAAAACGCAGGAGCGACAGAACTTCCTGTGTGGGTTTGGCTCAACTATCTAATGCGTGGACATTTTTCCCAGTTGTGAGTTCAGGACAGACATGAAGCAGCAAATTTCTGGGCTTCCCATGATGGCTGCAATGAGCATCAGGTCCAGGTGTGTTCGAGGGACCAACCTGACTCTCCAGTGGCTTTCCTCAGCTTCCCGCGTCTCACTTTAAATACACCTGGGAGTAGGGTGTCTGGTGCTTGCTCCCTTTCCCAGGCAGGCCAGAGTGGGATGCTAGGGCAGAATGCTATTCCTCTGTGGAAGCAGCGGAGGTAGGATGGAGGCTTCTGGTCGTACCTGTGAAGGCAGAGCAGAGAACCTTCTGCAATTCCCCTCCCCTGTTTTTTGGCCCAGGCTGCCTTGATCACTGAGATGTCACTGCTGGCAGAAGTGAATCCTTCATCCCTTGAGACTGTCTGCCTCACCTCCTCTTTCTCCCTCTCCTCCCTTTGTTCCCCCCCCCTGCCAAGGTCCAGGTGGGAAGCCTCTTGTGGGCAGGGACTGTTCTCTCTTCTGGCATGTCAGACTGCATTGTGAGTGGATGGCTCTGTAGGAGGAGCAAAACCCAACAGTGATCCTCACAATTTAGACCACCAGCGTCTTTTCAGCCAAGGGACTTTACGGAGAAGCTCGCAGGGACTGTGCTCTGATGGCGGGTGGGATGGAAGGGGCAGGGCCATCTTATTGCAGATTACATTCTTATGGCTGGTAGCCCCAGAGGGATCAATGTGACTTCCAGAGGGCAGGATTTGGCTTATAGTCTTCCCCATCCTAACCTTCACCATCAGCTTCTCCGTTCCATTATCCTCAGGCCCTGGGCAGGCCACCGCATTCATCAATGGATGAGACAGGAAAGCCATAATTCATGGGAAGAACCAAAATTAAGCCAAGCAAGATTCAGAGGAAGAGCAAAAGCAAGCTGCCCACCAGGGAGAGAGCCCTGGTTACCTTCTGTGCCCTCCTTTGGCCCTCGGGCTGAGAAGAAGTGTCCCAAGCGGTGCTTCCATCTCCCAACCTCAGTGTTGGGAGATGGGAATACAGTACAGACCCGGTCAGTCTACATATAAAGCTTCAGACCAGTTCTACTTCGAGCTGAGACAACAGATCTCCACAGCTCAGCCCACACGGTCTCCTGTGAGCTGTCTGTGGGCCTGACTGCAGCTTAGAAAGACTTGACTTTGCCTTGGTACGATGCAGTCCTTCCTGAGGTGACTTGCCCAGCAGAGCAGGAAAGCTCCTGCCTCTCCTGAGAGCCACAAGCCCCAACAGAACAGGAAAAGTCAACTCAGCCACCATGGACCTCATACCCTACTGGGCAAAAATCAGGCATTGCCGGTTGAAGTGGTCCAACTTTCAACCTAGAATATGGCCCTCAGGGATAAATGTGGCCTTCACAAGTCATAGGAACCTACCCCACGCCTACATCCTTCAGGTGAAGATACCCAGTCAGACATCAGGAGGAACTGGAAGGGGACTCTTGAACTTCCCCCATCCTCTGGCCCAATGCCAGGTCTCCATGAAACAGCAACCTGCAGGTTCTGGTCCCAACTCAGTCTGGATGTCTTTGCTCATCAGTAGACAGCATACCAAAGTGGGCTGCACTGGGCCCCCATCCTGGATGAGGTGGTTCAAAGTGGTTGTGGGTGTACCAGTGGTTGTGGGGGACTGAATCAACCAGAGTCTTTGCCCTTTGATGTCCAACCTGGTGTCCCCAACTGGTGGGCACACTTGAAATGTTGAGGGTTTCGTGGCTTCCCTCGCAAAATGGCTGCTGTGGTGGAGTTTGCCCGTTCACAAAGGGTCCTTTTTATTAGGTTATCGACCTTTTGGCTTTTTCTCTCCACATTCCCACCTCCATGAAGTCCACCCAGTGGTCTCTACTCATTCCTTTTACGCATAACACTGATTCCGACTGGACCCAAACATCCCATCCCTGATTCAGGTGGAAAGAGAAAAAGAATTGGGAATCCAGGACATTCTAGATTCTAGGGTACAAAAAGGGAAGGAGCCAAATGTCTGTGCAAGTTTCACAAACTTTATAGAAACCAGCCTGGACTTGCTCCTTTGGGTTGGAGAGGGAAATGGGGCCATGATGCCAGAACCCAGGGCCTTGGAGTACCCCAAGGAACTCTCAGAGAAGGACAAAGTACAGCCTGCTGCACCCAAGAGAGAACCCCACCCCTTACCATCCCCCTTTGCCTTGGATGATTCCCCCACCGTGCATCCCATCCCAGCCTCTTAGGAGCCAATGAATACACGCTCAGGCAAAGGTCCTTTAAAAAGCATAGGCATTTCCTCACAGCAGATGGAGCTAGGACTGGTCTGGTCAGCCCACATAAGAGGATTTCAGCTCCCTGCTGAGCCAACATCTCTCCCTAGCTCAGCTCAGGGGGAATCAGCAGCTGCAGGGAGCCCCAGAGAAAAAGGACATCGCACTGTCATTCTCAAGAGGGCTGAACCTCCTGTTTCTGGTGAAGGCCCTTCTGCCTCACCCCAGGGTGCAGTCTTGTCTGCCACACGCAACTGGCTCACTTCAGACTGAAAAACTTCAACTACAACAGGGAGCAGGTGGGCCCAGGAGTCCGTGATGTATGTCTGAACAAAATCATTGCTCCTGAAAGGGAAGCTTGGATCCTGCGGAGGAAAATTCGATAGAGAAAATATACAAGCACTGGACTGCACACACAGATGACCAAAGGTAAGGAGCATTCACTCTGGACACTGTCCGACTCTTGAAGCACTTCACGTCATGCGTCCATCAGTGGATTTCCCCTCCCTCCAAAGAGGAACATGCTCAGCAAGCAGCGCAGAGCTCATTTCTGGTGCAGCGAACTGTTTGCTTCCCCCTGAATGGATCCTACTCCACACCGGCAGAATCCACAGGACTGGCATGAGATCAGCCATACCTGCAGTGCCAACCTGGTGCACCGGGGCAGCAACAGTGTGGGAACGTCCTGCCTGGTACACTCACGCCACACGCTTTAATTGTTCATCTTCACGATCCCTGTCACCCTGTCACAGGCAAGAGAGTCATAAATTCCTGGGCAAGATAGCCCAGAGTATTCTTCCCGGAGCGACGGCAGTCCTTGCCAAGATGGGCAAAATGTCTTCGGGAAGGAGAGAGAGCACCTTACTCTGGTGCAGGGCAGATCCAAAGTGGGGAACACGGTCCTCCTTTAAAGAGGGACACATACACTTAATTTAACACCTTCTGTCGATGAGAGCAAAGCAGGAGTTAAAAGCACGTTGAGCACTTGCCTGAAGTCATCCCAGATGGGCACAATCTCACCTAAAACAGCAGGAAGTCTGGCTTGTCCGTCTGTCCACCCATCTTCAAAATCACAGAAAAGGCAAGAGAGCTTATGCTGAGGTCAAATTGTCCCCTCTTGTTGCAGTAAACCAAGGCAAGGGGGAGCTGGCCCTCCTCCTGGGCCCTTAATCTAACCGCAGGTCAGCAGCCCCTTTTTAAAAGCCACAAGAAGACAATGGAAAACGCCCGATTGTAAAAGAGAGAGATTAAACGAAGAGGCTCTGTCACACCGCTTCTGTCGGGGGGCTTACCTCTCCTCCCATCCCAAATGCCACCCCCCCAAAAAAGAGCACAAGAAAGGAATGGCAGAGTTTTCTGAATATCATCCGAGGGAGGGGGTTTTCTCCCTTTTGATCCTGTGGTTCCAGCTACAGTACAGCTGCAGAACCCCTGCTGAGCACTTTAACGGATGCCATGCAAGGTCCTTTGGAAAGCCCCTGGGTGTGAAAAGCACACTCGCACACGTGCACCCTGCTCCATCCTCGTGGGCTGCACACCGAGCTCCTGGGTGCAGACAGGCCTGCGCTGGAGTGCGTGTACCCCATGGGGCAACCAGGGTGAGGAAAGCGCAGGAAAGGGGGGTTCTGCTTTAACCATGAGCCGGGGACTGAGGGAGAGAACGGACAGGAGGTGCCTGGAGAAGTGGGAAGCCCTTCCTCTGGTCAAAGGGGAGGGTGTTCCTCGTCCCAGGTGGGTGATGCTTCAAAGAAATGCAGGGGATGCTGCGCCAGGTGGAGGAAGGAGCCACAGCGTCTCTTTGTATCGAGCGCCCTCTGGTGGCCAGCCTGCTCTCTGGCATCCCCACGCGCCCAGGTCGGTGGTCCTCAGAATCCTTTGATGTGGCAGTAGGCCTCAAGGCCGGAGAAGAGGATGTAGAGCAGCCAGAGCCCCAGGAAGAGGCAACTGGTAAGGATTTTGGCGGTTCGGGGGCCCCCCAGCTCGCCCCCTATGTGCGGCCGTCGCCGGTACATGAGGACGCTGATGCAGACGAAGGCGAAGATGGTGAAGAGGGTGACGGAGAAGGCCAAGGTGCCCGTCTGCACCTCGAAGTCCTTGCCCTGGAAGGCCCAGTAGACGGCTGCCACGGACCAGGCCACGCCCAGGCCCAGGAAGACGTTGACCGCGTTGCTGCCGGTCACGTTGCCGATGGAGGCGTCGGCGCACTGATCCTGCAGGGCGGCCACTTTGCTGGCGAAGGTGTCTGTGGGAAGAGGAGAGCATGAGCGGGGCAGCGGAGGGTGCTGGTGCCGACCCGGGAAGCCCCGAGCGGCTGAGGGCCTGGTTACCTGCGGGAGCGTCTCCTTCCGTACGTGACTGCCCACCCGCCCCTCCAGATCGGGGGCAGAACAGAGGCCCCTCTCCAGCAGCCCTCCCCGAAGGAGATCGGGAGGGCGGCTACCGGAAGGGCCAGCCCTACCGTTAGATGGAACGGGCCGATGCCTGGGAGGAGGCAGGCGGCAGGCTGTCAGGCGACGCAGCTGTGGGCCGCCTGCGTGGCGCACTCGCTCGCTGCCTCCAGGAGGGGTGGAAGGCGGTGCTGCCTTTGGCCTGTCTGCTCAACTACCACTCCGGTCGGTCGGCGTTTGCACATCAGACCTGAAAGGGCGCGTCTTGCCTGTTGCCGCAGGCATCTAGTGGCATCTCGTTGCCGCGGGCGGTGAGATGCTTGGGCTGCCCTTGCACAGGTGGCCAAGACGGGCTTGTGCACTTGGAAATTTGCACCCAGGTGCTGGAAAGAAACAGTGCCCAAAACCGGCCACCTCTCGCCCTCCCTTTGGCCTGCATGGAAGCGTCTCTCTGGCCGATGCTGGGACAAACGGCACAGTAAGAGGGGCCTTTGTCGGTTCCAGCGAGATGACGCCGGCGTTCGGGTCACACTACCTGGGATGGACGTGCCCAGGGCCACGAAGACCACGGCGTTGACGGAGTCCTTGAGGCCGACAGTGCAGCCGAAGTGGGAGGCCAGGTCCCCGATGAGCGCGGTCAGCAGGCCGATCACCAGGATGCTGACGCTGAAGCAGGCCCAGCCATTCCAGTACTCGGTGGGGGGAACGCAGGCGAAGAGCACCTTCCAGAAGACCGTCAGGAAGTGCATGACGTAGTCAAAGCAGGACGGGAGCCGCTCCTCACGCCCATCTTCCTCATCCTCCTCGTCACCTAGGGTAGGGAAGGCCTGCACTCATTAAGGACTTGGCAGGAAGCCACGGTGTAGGGGAAGCTGGGCCCGCTGGCGACAGTCCTTGGGGCTCTTTTACCAGCAGGTTGCTGATTTCACCCACAAATGCTCACAGTGGCTGCAGGAACTAGCCTGGCCCAGCAATAACAGCTGGCTTGCTCCCTGTCGCAAGGTAACTTTTTATTTTATTTTATTTATCTTGTTATTTTATTTTATTAATTTTGTACTCTGGCTTAATCTTGACGGGGCAAATAAAACCCATTTGCTTGACCTTAAGGCCTGCTGTGGGTGGACAGAAATGCAGAAACTGGTTTGTTGCAGCCTGAATTTTTCGACATGCTTGGAAAAATACAGCTCAGGGGACTGTCCTGCTGGGCCCCAACCCCCCTGAGTATTGGCGGTGGGCTTAAGGAGGGAGGAAGTGCAAAGGGAAGCCCCCCTCACCCCGCAGCCCACCCCACTGTGGGATTCAGCGTCCCCGATGCCGGGCAGGGCTGTCGCATGGAGCAGAGGTGTGCCGCTGGAGCCCTCAGAGGTGCTGGACAAGGACCCCGCGCACCTCGCCACTGGGTGCGCTAAAAGATCTAGAGATCTCCAGTGGCCCAGCCCACCCTAATCAGTCAGCATGGGGCAGTGGGTGGGAGCGCAGGATGGGGACTCGGGTTTGAGCCCCCACTCAGCCATGAGGTGACTTTGGGCCAGGCACTGCCTCCCGGCCTAGCCTACCTCGCAGGGCTGTTGCTGTCTCGGGTCCCTAGCATGGAAAAGGTGGGATGCAAATGCAGGAGGAGGAGGAGGAGGGAAAATGGAAGACCAGGCAGGTCAGAGGAGGGGAGGGATGAGGGACTTCATAGCCAAGCCACGGGGGGAGCCCAGCCCGGGGTCCCGCAACCCATTGGAAGAGGAGTTATTGAATGAGGGGGGGGGGTCTTTGCTTTTTTTTCCTGTGCCTGCGCAGCAGCTTGGCCTGTGGAAACGGGAGAAGTGAAGCCACGAACTCCCCCCTGCCTGCCTGAGCAGGTTTCAGCAGCCCTGCCCGAGAGACCCGCCACACACTGTCCCCACGGCGGGTGACGCGGCGAGGCTCCCCAAGGCCCACTGAGGCAGGCGAGGGAGGGCTCGCCGCAAGAGGAAAATATTCCGGAGATCCTGGGGGGAAAGGGGCTGCGGTTCTGCCCTGCGCCCAGCAGAGGGCGCCACGGCCATGCCGCATGGATCCGCTCGGCTCCACCAGGCCGAGCGCGGCTTCTTTTCCGGAGGGTCGAAGAGAAGCTGAAAGGCAGGCCGTGTGGCGAAGAAAAGGGGAGGGGAGGCAGCCCATGTGGGGCTGTGCCAGGAACCCCCCTTTGGACCCAGTCAGGGGCGGGGGAGCCGAGGGCCGTGATGACGTTGGCGCAACACTGTCCGGTAGTGAGGGCATGTGCAAGCGTCAGAGTCGCACAGAGCTCTTAGACGCAGCCACACGAAAACAGGATGAAACCCGCCACGCGTGGCTAGCTGCGTGCTTCACATGCTCCATCCCGGTTTGGGGAAATGATGCCCAGATTTCCATGCAAAGACAGAAAACAGCGCTCACAATCTGGAGTCAGAATGACTCTGAGAAGGAATTCGGAAAATGTTGCATTGGAAACAGCCATGGCCACCGGTTGGGATGGCTTTAAAAGGGGCTTGGACACGCTTATAGAGAGGGACACGTTCAGTCCTGATGGGCAGATCTTCCTCCAGTATCAGAAGCAATATACCCATGTGCAGCAGCTGCTGGGGAAGATGGGTGGGAGAGTGCTGTTACCCTCATGTCTTGCTTGAGGGCTTCTGCGGGCAGCTGGCTGACCAATGAGTGGCCAGAAGCATGGAGAAGGAGGACCCCAGGTCTGTGCATGTAAATTAGCATATGCAAATATTATGCCGATCGCTGCCTTGTTGGGGCCTTTGTTTTTGGCGAAGGGGACGCTTCTTAAGTGTCCGTGCCACAGGAGAAAATTGCATTTGTGTCTTTTATTGGCTCTTCTGGGGAACAGAGGCAGAGGTGCAGGCTTGCTTTTGCCAGGGAGCAGATGAGCCCTGTGGCGGGTCTGGGACCAAAGCTCTGCACGGATCGACGCAAAGAGGCAAGGCTGAAATTGGGAAGGGAAGAGAGGCAGAGAAAGAGACCGACCGGTGTGGGTGGACAGCTGCGCAAGATAATATAATTCCCCTTCCCTTTCTTTTGCTGGCTGCAAAAACACCCACAGTTTTATAGCAAGTGCTGCTGTTTTAAGAGATTTCAAGGCAGCAGTAAAACCGTGAGATGTTTGGGCTCCCTTACTTATTTATCTATCTATCTATTTTCTAAAGCGATTCCTAGACTCCTTGTCTAAGAAGAAAATCATAGATTTAGGCTGTCTTACTTAGTCATCAGTGCAAAATCCATTTTCATTTCCAAAACTCATTACCTGGATGTTGGCAGAGCGAGTTTGTATTAAAGCAGGTGTGGGTGTGTTTGGTCATACGGTGTGTTTGCATGTCAGGGGGAGGCAGAGAGTCTGGAACTTTGCTCAATGGCCCTAGAATTTCCATGCACGGATCCAGTTGCTTCCCCTTTGTGCTATGACCACCGGGAAGACCGCCCAGCTTAGCTCAGTTCTGTCCTCCAGTGCAGCTGCTTTGAGTGTGCAGAGCGAAAGAAGACACACAGGTTGCTTTCCTCCTCAGCGGGGAGCCAGGGTTGTCCTGCCTAGTCCGACACAAGAGCCCCGGAAGAGAAAATCCAAGGCAGTGGTTCTTCCCGGGGCAGAGTTATGTCCAGTGAAGCACGAGCAAGCCTGGCTGCTCTGGGTGGCAAGGCAGCCTAGGACCCTGGACAGCTCCACGCAGGCACAAGCTCGCTCAGGAAGCGCTGGTGCCTCAGCAATATGCTGAGGCCTCTGGAAGTCTTCTAGCGCCTGGCTCATCTGGGCCTTCTGTTAGCCCACCCTCCTACCAGCCGGCTGCCTCTTCAAGGGCCGTTCCCCTATTCTGCACCTGTCGGGCCATGTGCTGTTGATGGGAACTGTCTTCTGAGTTTGGAAAAGCCGCACCCTCTGGCCTCGAAGGCCTGCGGCCAGAGGGGATGGCTTCCTGGACACAGCTTCCTCCAAATCGGAGCCCCCTCTGAGCCAGAGGGCCAGAGAACGTGCCACCGGCTCAGTGGCGGGGTGTGTGTTCTGTCCACTGACGCTTCCTCGTTCTAGCCTGCCATTTTCAGTTGTAAGCAGAGGGGGTTAAATGAGAACAGACCCTCTTGGCCCAGACCCAGAGCTGGCCCGCGACAGGATGGCATACCTGCGCTCACGGTGATCGCCTCGAGGAACTGCTCCCGCCACGAGTGCGTGCCAATGACCAGCGCCAGGTTCGTTTTTTTGATCAGCTTGTCCACTGTGTTCTGCAGAAGGTGGGGGAAAGAGACACCACAGAGGCTGCCGATCCCGGGCCTCCTTCCAAAGCAGCCGGAATAGGCATTGCTGTGAGTAAGAGGCTGGCACCGAAGGCAGGCAAGGGTGGGAGCCTGGGAAGCAGCTGGGAAGAAGGGCGAACAAGAGGGTGGGGGGCCAAGGTGGCTGCTGACAGCAGCAGGGATGGGGGCGCTCCCAGGGGGAAGGGGCCCGTGGGGGTGCCGTGCTCAAAGACCTCAGCACCCCTGCAGCATGCGCGTGGGCAGAGATCCCGCGAGACACGGCCTTCTGCAGGATCCACAGCACCCTTTCCAAGGCTCTCCTTCCCTCGGTGCCTCCTTGTGGAAGCTGTCCTGCCCTTTGCAAGCCCAGGGCCTGCTAGAGGCCCCCCGGAGGGGAGGGGGCCAGTGATGAGGCCTCAGGGATGCCCCACACAGAGCAGTCCCTGATTATTTTTCACTTTCTTTTAGTATAGTGTCACTTGACTGCTCTTTTCCTGACTCGCAAGCCACTCTGGTTCGTGACTGGCCTTTCGAAAGGCAGCCTGTGTCAAGAAGTCCCACAGAGGTCCCAGCTCTGCCCTCGTTACCTTGAAATCATAGGACTCCTCAATGATGACCTCCAGGCGGGAGTTTTCCCCCAGGATGGGCTTCCCCATCTCGGCAATCCGCTGAGCCTCCTCTTCCTCTGCTGTCAGTTTCTTGTCAGCATCCGCTGAGTTAAGGCAAATGCAGCATGAATGAGATGCGAGCCCCTGGCTCCAGCCTCCTTCTGGCTCCGTCTTCCCCCACCAGGTGCCCTCTCGCTATGTTAGACTACAGTCCCCAGCATGCCTGGCCAGCATGCTGGGTAGTTGTAGTCTAACGAATCTGGGGAGCACCAGGGGCAGTGGGGTGAGCCAGCCCAGCCCTCCTTCTCAGAGACCAGCCTCCCGAAATGCGAACCAATGCCCAGCCTACTTGGATGCTGTTTGCATTCCTGTCCTCCAAGAACCACGTCCTTTCCACTCTTCTCATGCCATTTCTATCCTCACAACAACCCTGCAAGGCAGGTCACACTGAGAACCCACCCCCGGCCTTTAGCAAGAGATGCTTCTTTTTCATTCAGCCTTTTCAAATGGGCACCTTTAACATTTCTCTTATGTTCTTATTTCTTGCTGTTTTAACCCTTTGTTGTTTTAAACAGTGTACCTCACCTTGATGGCTTTTCAGCAGATGAGGTGCCGTTGCACATCTAAGAATCAATCAATAACTATACACAGCGTCTGCAAAATTCTCGCGTTTTGTGAGCATCAGAGGCCTGCAGGGCTGGCGCCTTCTGCCCCCAGTCTGTGTGCTCCTTCCCTGACATTCCCAGTACGGCATCTTTGCCCACAAGAGGAATCCCACCGGGCTGCATGGAGCTTCTCCAGTGGCGCTCACTCCTAGCATGGAAGTCTGCATTGTTAGGCACAGGTACGCGGAGAGCCCTTTGGGCAGGTGAGATTCATCTCTGTCACCAAGCTGCACATTTTCATTTCTGTGCATAGGTTTTCTCCCACACAGTCCCTCTCTTCCCAGAACATGGTTAATGTGCGCATACACACATTTTCTCCCACGCACTCTCTCCCATGGCATTCCCACGCCCCCACACGGTGCTTCTTCTCCCTGCGACAGATGCGTGCTCCACAGAAGGCTGGAGCAAAGCTGTTCACACAGCCCTGTGTACTCAGCCCCGTGCTCGCGCGCCTTCTCCTCTCCTGTCTGGGGCTGTGCAGGAGGGAAATCGGCCCTAGTGATCTCGATTAAGTAGGCATTTCTTTCAGGAAAGGAAGGGGGCGGGAAAATGTTAAGAACGCTCGCACACAAACCTCAGGAATATCACCAGCGTTACTACCGGTTGATTTCCCTCAAAATTCCACTGATGTTTTTCTTGAAGGGAAATGGAAAAAATGGACATTGATATTCTGAAGCAAGCCAAAGCCAGTGGCAATCGTTGGAGGGAGAAATATCCAGGCGTTCTCTCAGCAAAATCTGTCTCGCTTTTCTAGAGATTCCACAGGTGTTTTGTCCCGTGGCATTGCCAAATTTGGGCAAAACTCAACTCTGAGCCTGTCTTGGGGGAGTGTAGAAAATACACACACACACAAAATTTTAGAAAACTTTTCAAAATTCCTTTGACTTCCTGTTACGTTCCTTGGCCATTCCTCCTGAGGGGTGGCCCCTGCACAAATGCACAAATGGACTTTTTCTTTGGGCCAAATGCCAGCTGTGCCGTGCGTGGCACACCAGCGTGTGAAATCTCACTAGCAAACCTTGGGTTGCCACTCTTAGCTCATAGTGGCTCATCATTCAGGGAACGATTTACAGAATACAGATAGCCTCCCTTCCAGAAGCTCATGCCTATCAGCACCAGTTCGTGGCGTGGCTCGTTACTGCACTGGTGTTCAAGAAATGGAAAGGGGCGCATTCCCAGCCCTCGGTGTGCAGCCCCATCCCGAGCCTTTCATGGATTCACGTCACCACCGTTCCTCATGCCCTGGATTTAACCGAGAAGGCAATTCTTGACTCCCAAGGGGTCCGTCAAAGCCCTGTCCATACCCAGGAAAGAGGCCTGGCTGAAGCCTTTCCTGGGACCAGACCAAAGAATCAAGGAAAACACGCACCTTTGTGTCCTTCCTGGGAGATTTTAGAAACAGAAACATAGCAAGTCAGAAGGGGCCTCCCAGGCCATCTAGTCTGACCCCTGGCTCCAGCTGGCTCCACTCATGTAGAACCCAACATGTGGTTGTTCTGGAACATCCTCCCTGATGGGGCCTCCACCTCCGCCCTTGGAAGCCCACTCCACATCCTAGGGGTCCTGACCATCAGGAAGTACTTCCTGACACCCAGCCTGAAGCCTGGTTCCTGGAATTTTGCCCCATTGGAATGCATCCAGTTTTGCCCTCCGCTGCAGGGAAGAACAGCTCATGGCCCTCCCCCACATGACTTCCCCTCACATACCTGTAAGTCACTAAAAGATTTTAGACACACCTGGTGTGGCCACAGTTGCAAAGCAAGTGTCAGGCCAGACCAACCTTCCTTAGCAAGGGTTCTGCCAGAAGTTTGGGCCTTCAGTGGTCATCCCAGATGGCTGGGGCTGATGGGAACTGTAGGCCGAAGAAACTGGATGGACCCACACTGGGGAAATCTGGGCGAGACTGACTTTTGGGTCCGAGCCAGCAAAGGAATGGGTGCTGTGGCAGGAGCTGCACCTGGGTGAAATTCACCAGCTGAGCAAACAGGCCCTTTGGCTTCCAGTGTTTACAATGTGGGTATATGCTAATAAAGCACCATCTTTAGTATCTCTGAAATGCTGCTAATACTTCAGGGAAAACAAAACGTGCTTCCTGCTTGCTCCTCTTTGCTCTAACGAAGCAAATCCCACACTGGGAGGCCGTGGGAGCGTTTATTGATGTACTTTTTGCAAATGGAGCAGAGGAACACGGGTACAAGAATGGCACCTTGCATTGTTAAGAACTGTTTCCAGCCACACCAAGCTGGTCTCTACGCCCCAGCCTGGCCTGCAATTCACTTGGGTTCCCCCAAAGAAAGGGACTTACTCCCAAGTAAACGTACATAGCATGGCATTGTCCGTGACCTTGGCCTAGGTGGCTCCACCTGTACAATGGGTACAATAGAGGCTTAGCAAAGGAAAGAACAGGTAGTGGCAAGCAAATCCGGGGGGGGGGGGGGTTCGAGGCGCCCGGTTTGTGCCTATGAGACAGTCAGGGGGGTGGTGGGAATGGATGGCGGGGTGGGGGCCGGGCTGGTGGATTTGTGAGTCAGAACCTGTGGGGAAAGGGGAAAGGAAAACGCTTACCTTGATTCAGCAAAAGGGCTGCCACCAAGGAATCAGCGAGAGGGAAGGAGCGGGGGAGAGAGATTATACAATTGTCAGTAAAGAGACAGAAAGACACATGTTCAAGGGAAAGAGCCAGCAGGGAGCAGAATGGCAGGGGGGCCCGTCCAAAGCAGCGCAGCCGGAATATCATGCCCAAGAAACCCTCCTCCGAGTCAGGGGTCGGCAGGATCTGTTTTGTGGGCTCCTGGTTTAGCACCTCCAGATCCATAAGCTTTTAAGGGGCTGTTGATGGGCTCTAACCTGGCGTACGGTTGAGCATCACGGGAAGAGCCCTTACCATTCAGGCAGAACTCCAGGGTGGATACACTGCCCCACTGACATGGGACCTGGCCGCCCGCGCTTGGTGCTGGCCTCCGTGTGCCGCCCACCCAGCTTTCTGCTTTGGCTCGAGTCCAGACATGATCAGTGGGCCTTTTGCTCGTCGGGACTAACTTAGATCCTGGTTTCTATGAATCTCCTCCAGGTATGACAAAGTCCAGAACCGACACAAGAAGCACACGTGCCCTCACACATGCACAAGTGACCCCCCCCCCCCAAAGCTATAGGCTAGAGAGGATAAAGATAGATAGTAGTGACTGGGGGTGGGGGGGGGCAATCCTTCCCGAGCAACTTCTCCTTTTCTAGGGTGCCTCTGAGCAAAAGCCCTCCAAAGGCCACCGCCCAATCCCATGCTGTCACCTGGGGTGGGAGTGCAGGTTTCCTCCAAAAGCAGAAGGGGTGCTGTTTTAGTACTCTTTTTTAATGGGGGGGCTCTCACCCCGCCCACCTTACCTGAGATGCCCCGCTTCAACCAGCGTGGCTGGCCCAGCTCGATAAAGAAGCTGTCCTTCTTCTCATATTCTTCCACATCCACAATCTTCACGTGAAGCGATTTCCTGCTCAGGTGGGAAAAAGGGAGAATAGGGAGGGAAAGTGGGGGGGAGATGGATGTGGGGGGGGGGGAGAAAGCATTAAAGCTCCATTTGGAAAGCATGCGGGTGAAGAACACACCCAAATATTTTTACCAAATACAGAGGGTGCCAAAAAAATGTATACACGTTTTAGGAAAGGAAAAAAAACTATATTAAAATTGCAGTACTTAATATACACCAATAACAAAAGACAGATTCCAGTCATGTTTGACTTCTGCAATTGCAAGAGTTGCTCAAAGTGGTCGCCATCAACATCCAGGCACTTCTGATTATGGCAGAGTTGACCAAAGCGTCCATTTGGATCGCCGTGTGTGCAGCTTCTATTTCTTCCCTTCAATTTCTTCTTACCGCCATCTTTGGAGCAAATGTCATGCTACACACTGGTACCATAATTCAATTCAACTTCAAAAAGTAATATATAAAGAACATATCTTAAAACGTGTATACGTTTTTGGAACCCCCAATATAAGGAGAACAGGAAGAAAATGGTGCTGGAGGAAAGCTTTGCAAATACCCCGGGACCGAGAGAACAACAAGCGGTCCCAGATCAGATCAACTTTCCCTAGAAGCAAAATACGGAGAACATCTGGACCACTTTCCAAACTTCCTGTTTGAAGAATTGCCCCGTTAGCTCCCTGCGTCTAAGAGAGCTCTATCTAGGCTTGTGTTTCTTGAACAGCAGCTCCTTCTGGCAACTTGGGACGTGGCTTCCATATCTGGGTGGACTTCCGAAAGCAGACTGTGTTCTCCAGAAAGCTCCTGCCCTGTGGAAGCGAAAGCACCAGGATGCCTAAAAGTGGTTCTTTGGAACCCGGCCAGGAACTGGTATCTCATCTTCTCCTCTTGGCTCCAGTCCAGTCCAGCGCTATAAATATACTCCTGGATCTCACGCCCGAGTCTTGGTGGCGTCCAGGAGTGCGTTTGAAGTCCAGCCATGCGCACTGTCTGCACATGCCTAGAGAGGCCACCTGTGTGCCCGGCAGCACCTGCTTAAGATAAGCCCCATTAGCCCTAACCACAACGTGCTCACTAGGGCCTCCCTGGACAAGTTCAGAAACCTCAGGTGGTCCAGAACGTTGCAGCCGGACTGCCTTCCGGGAGCCTATTTCCCCCGTGTTGCGACACTGTCACTGGCCGCACGGCACAACTCCAAGTGTGTGTTGTGACCTCAGAGCCTGCTAAGGCTACCTGAAAAACGGCCTTCTCCTGAACAAGGCAAGCTGGGCTTTACGATTTTCCAAAGCAGCTGTTTCTTGGTCCCTCTGCTATTGGAAATGCATTTGATGGCAATGAGGAAAGACGTTTTCTGGTGTTTGTTTCCGAGGTCTCAGAAGAGAGCCAGTTCGGTTTAGTGGTGAATAGCCATAGATAATCTTTGGGGCTGCATATTCCCATCCATCGGGAAGAAGACTGATGCACTGGAAACATGATGTTTGTGAAGAGCTTTACAAAATACCCTGGGCTGACAGAAAAAAAAGCAAGCAGGTCCTAGATCAAACCAAGCCAGAGCCTTCTTTAGGAGTAAAAATGACAGAACTAGGCTGTTGCATTTTGGGTCAGTCATGAGATGGCCAAAAACCCCTGGGGAAGACCATTGTGCTTGGGAACATCAAAAGCAGCAGATGAAAAGGAGACCAAAGAGGAGCAGGATGGACTCCAAAAAGGAAGCTACAGTCTGGGATTTGGAAGAGCTGAGCAGGGATGTCCATGGAGAGGACATTCACGTGTAAGGTGACCATAACCACTGATCTTTTGATCATTAATTAAGAAGCCTCGGCCCTCTTCGTTAATGACTGCTTTGAAAGTGGGCAAGGCGGGAGGAAGAAGCCAGGGCAAACCAGAACTGACGTCAGTGGGATTTCAGGCCTAGTTGATAGCAACTGAGCTGTGGGAAAGAAGGTGTGAAGGACTTGGGACCAGTCAAGGTGAATATCAGGGCCAGCTCCGGGTGGATGGCCCCCACTTACTGGGAGCTGAGGGGAGAAGCAGGGTTGTTCCGCCAGTCGCACAAACAGCTGACATAATTTTCTTCTTCCCTCCGCATCCCTTTTTCCTTGTGTGTTGTGTATCACGCATGCCTTTGTTGCTGACTGAGTCCATAATATGCTTTTTTTGGTTAAAGAGCAGGATAAGCTGCAATCTTTATTGGATTTATCACATGCCAGTGCTAAACAACATATTATAGTGCAGGGGGCAGTGTGACATGGCTGGAGTGTTGGACTGGGACTTGGGAGATCTGGATTCTAGTCCTTGCTCAGCCAGGAAGTTCACGGGGTGACCTTTGATCCGTCGCTAACACTTAGCCTCGCCTACCTCGCAGGGCTGTGAGGATGATCCAGAGAGGAAGGGGGAACTGGCATGAGCTTCCTTGAGCGCCTTGGAAGGGGAAAGCTGGGATGTAAATATCAAGAAGTATTAAGAAGCATATCCCATCGTGGCACACTCCAGCCTCCGCATCTACCGTCGAGTAAATAGGGCTGACTTCCAGGTTTTGCAACAGGGAGATGTGAGCAGGTTCGAACCTGCCTGGCCCAGGGATGGCCTCTGAAGCGCCCGCCGCACACCTGCCTTCCCGCGGATCCTGGAGGGCGGCGGAATCGCTCAGACGCTGCAATCGGCGCGGAAGCAGCTGCGCATCGCCTCTGCGCTGCGCCATGCGGGAGGGATGGCTCCCCGCGGGGGTGGGGGGTGCCTGATGCCCGCCCCCGTCTTACCCTCCGGCCCCCGAGAGCGATTTCGGGGCCTCCCGGGAGAGGGCGCAGGCGGCAGGCGGCGCGGGCAGGCAGGCCGCCGCTGTCCGTGGTGCTGCAAGGGGCCTCTTCCCACGCCGCGCCGTGGACTGCCGAGGGGCGCGCGTGGGTTTCCAGAGATCCCCCCTCCCCAGTTCCAGGGGCGACTAGAGGGCTGCCACGCAACGGGGCGCAGCAGCCCATCCGGCTGCGGCGCAGGTTCCCCCGCCGGTTCGTGTGTCTGTAAACACCGCGAGGATGGGCTCTCCGGGAGGACGCCGGGGTGGCCACGGGGGGCGGGGGGGGGGTGATCGAGGGTCATTGAGGAAGCCTCGTGGCCAACCCATCGTCCTGCCTCCGCTCCAGAGTTTCACCCCGGCTCCCTAGCCAAGACGCCGTCGGGCCGCTCTTGGGAGCGGCTTCCACTGGAGGGTGAGGCAGAAGGGGAGGGGGCAAAGCCCCCGAAGGACGGCCTGTTTCAGCCCAAGCTCTTTCTGCGGTAACAAGTCCTTTCAGCCTTTCGGGAGGAGGAACTGGGACGAAGGGCAAGAACGCCCCAGTCTGGGAAAAGAGGCCCGGCCAATGTGGAACTCTAGAAAGGGGGACTTGGAATTTGGACCCCCTCCCCAAAATGCTGCATAAATACGGCTAGTAGCAGGAATGATATTAAGCATTGTGGCGGGCCTCGTGTGTTGGACTGGGATTGAGCTCCCTGGGGGCCTTGGTCCAGGCACAGACTCTCAGACTAACCTGCCTGACAGGGTTATTGTGAGCCTAAGATTGAAAGGGGAGGTAGAGGAGAAGGATTATGTAAGCTGCCCTGGGTTTCTTGAAGGACGAAAGGATCCAACAGCAGGCGGGTCCCTAGAAATGGCGAAAATGGTCAGACTGGAATGCGGAATGGAGGGCTGCGTTCTGCAGGGAAGCCCAAATAAGTGAGAACTTGGGCTGAGCTCTGCTTAAAGCTCAGGTGATTTCCCAACCTTTGCCACCTGCCTTATACAGGTAAACCTATAAATCAGACTTGAGCTGCCCTCTACTTTTGGCCAGGCAGCAGTGCTTTTCAACAGGTGTGCAACAGGCTGAAATTGCACAGGTGCAGCATCTCCCCCCTTCATAATGGAGATGCAACCATGGTGCCCTTTCAGAGATGGGAAACACCGAGGGCTCCTGCCAGGAAAAGGGGCAGCAGCAGCAGCTTTTGAACTGAGGGAATTAAACACTGCTTCTATCTCAGCCTTTCAGCATCTGGGCATCTGAAGCTGCCTTGGGCACTGAGCACCCATAAAGAGAGGACTAGTTCACACGCACCCTGCAAAGGGCAGCGTGGGAAGAGTGAATGATGCCGTGCGTATTTCACATCTCATGAATGTGCCCAGTCTAAGGAATTTCCCCATCTAATTAGACCCTCTGCCAGCTGGGGAAAACTCTCTCTCACCTGCACCAAGTGCGATTTTCTTTTATTTTTAAGAGAAATGCTCCATTTGAGGAAAGACTGCGCTGGGGAAGGAGTCAAGGAAGATGCCCGTCCAGCAGCAATCCTGTGGACAGATTTGGGGAAAGGCAAAGAAAGAATGCAGAGGAAGATTCCCTCGCCCGAGCGGGAGCATTTTAACTCAGTCCGAAAGGGGAGCCCGGTGGAGGACATGAGGTCATCGCTGTCCTTCTGCCACAATATCCCATGCCAGCAGAAACCCTTGACACAGACGCTGAGTCAAGAAATCAAAGCATAACCATCTCATGCACATCAAGGATAACCCAGCAAGGTACCATGTTCTCCCAGAATTAAACATGGGCAAAATGGATACCATTTTCTGGCTTGTCTTCCGAAAACAGGCTACATGTTTTTATCTATTTCACTGATGATGAATATTTCCTTTCTTCTATTAACTCAGGACAAACAACAATTTATATACTTATATAAGCTGAGACTACCTAGGTACACCGGGCCTGCCCTCTACGATAATTAGGTAATTGGGCCAGTGTCCCCCTTCAGAATTCCACCCCTGCATGCCATGAAACCAGAGCAATTTTGAAGAGCAGAAAACTCGTGGGGAGAAATATTCTAATCCTGAATTAGTCATGGTGTATAAAGGAGCATTAAAGCTATGTGGGATCCCTATTTTAATTTTGATATATTATTTTTTATTTTTGGTTTCTGTTGTTGATACGTTTTGAATATGTGGATTTAATGTTATTGATTTTAGAACGTTGTGTTGTTTTTATATTGTGAGC